GCAGTCACCGATTTTTATAAAATAGAGTTTTCCCTTATGGGTTCCTGGTCCCCATAAGGGAAAAAAACGGATATTTATCATGTTATGGGGACATTATGTCCCCATAAGGATAGGTAAACACGCTCACTCACACACACACACACACACACACACTATAGGTTGTCTGGCCTCACCGCAGTCTGTCTCATCGCTCCGGTCCCCGCAGTCATCGGTGAAGTCACACACCCTTCTGGGATCGACACACACGCCACTGGAGCATCGGAAATTATCCGAGGGACATTGGGCCTGGGGCTCTGGGGCAGAGAGAAGAGGACTGTGACACAGCAACTCTCTTCCTGCCTCTGTCCTGCCCTGGCATCCAGGACATTTTTGTCAATAACATTTTAGTTATAGCGAGACAGTATGCAGAACTGTTACCTGGCAGTGAGCAATGCAGAAGGGAGATGTCGTCTATGGCGATGTCTCCCAGCGTGCTGTAGGTGCGAGTCGCCTCAAAGAGCAGCCGGAACACCCCCGGGATGCGACCCACTCGTACGGAGGCGCGCCTCCACTCCCGGTCCTGGTCCCCCGAGAGGCTCCAGAGCCACGTGAACCCGGAGATCTCATGAAGGCGCACTCCCAGCTGGCCGATGCCTGGACACCCACACTGGACTGAATGATTCCCACGCAGACAGAAGTAAACACTCACAGACAGAGCCAAACGCACACCTACCTTTCCCGTACATGTGATAGTAGAACTCCAGTTGGCACTGTGAGCTCGCCTCTTTCATAGCTGGACTCCACAGTGCCGCAAAGCTGTTAACGTCTCCCTGGCTCGCATCCACCTCCATGTACCACCCTGAGATGGTCACAAGTGTTTATATAAATGTACTGTAAGGGGCAGTCTAACCAGAATCAATGTCTGTAGTGTATACTGTACGTCATTCACTTGTACAAAAGTGTTCGATAAATAAATATAAATGTAAATGTACTCAAATAGCCTCATATAGCTGAGTGTGTAGTGCTTACTGTAGGGGGCAGTCTCACCCAGCTCAGTGTGCGTAGCGCTTACTGTAGGGGGCAGTCTCACCCAGCTTAGTGTGTAGTGCTTACTGTAGGGGGCAGTCTCACCCAGATCAGTGTGCGTAGTGCTTACTGTAGGGGGCAGTCTTACCCAGATCAATGTGTGTAGTGCTTACTGTAGGGGGCAGTCTCACCCAGATCAGTGTGTGTAGTGCTTACTGTAGGGGGCAGTCTCACCCAGATCAGTGTGTGTAGTGCTTACTGTAGGGGGCAGTCTCACCCAGCTCATTGTGTGTAGTGCTTACTGTAGGGGGCAGTCTCACCCAGATCAGTGTGCGTAGTGCTTACTGTAGGGGCAGTCTCACCCAGCTCAGTGTGCGTAGTGCTTACTGTAGGGGGCAGCCTCACCCAGCTCAGTGCCCGTGGTGTGGTCCGTGGAGGGACCTGTGTTGTCTGTGGCTGAGCCGTTACGCCCCCTTTGCCACACGAACTGACCCGAACTCACGTCTTCCCAGCCACAGATGTCGGTCTCAAAATCACAACCCGTAAAATTTGCTGACGTTTCATTGTCTGTGAATATAAAGAGCAAAATCAGTTCATAAGGGAAGAAAGTTACAATAAAAAAGGATCGCTGAGGGATTCAGACATATATTACTGGCAAAATGTAACAGTAATCTAGCAGTAATCCCACTCCAACGAAGGCTCAAGGCTTGGGAATGCCAAATGGACGCCTGGGTACCATGACAGGGTCCTGGAGTCACTAGGAGGTCGTCGATGGCAACGAACCCTGTGGTGGTTTCAGCCTCGATCAGCACCTGTGAGGTCAGAGCTGTGAGAGAGAGCCACACCCACTCGCATAGGCAAATCCTGACAGATCATACAACCCCGGTTTGTGCATCTTGCATGAGCTAGTCAGCTACCATTGTGTATAAATGACCAACTAACTTAATAACCAGACCCTGTTCTGCTTTGTTTGCACCCAGTTGCCTTTGGCTATGTTTTTTTTTTCAAGCAGGTCCAAAGCCCATAACGTGAAATTTGATAGCTGAGAACGATCAGTCAGTGTATTTTTAATAGGATTTACAGGCTATAGTAACACAATACCTCCACTTTCAACACCAATACCTGGAATCCTTTGGGCCCAAGCACTGTGTGGGAAACCTGGGTCCAATTGCTCCAACCTTCTGTGGTCTCGTAAAACTGGTCCTTCTTGGTGACCCCAGACTGCAGATGGAGCCTCAGGACCCCGGGCCCACTGCAGGCACAGGTGATCCATCAACTCCAACAAAGACCTCTCAGGATGCTCCTTCAACTAAATACAAGGGACTTTCAGGTGTACCTGACATTCATTTGGTACCAGAACGAGAAGCATGTGGTTCCACTGTTCTGGAAGCGCTCAGAAACCAGGATTGCCTTCCTGCTTTGGTTCTGGACCTGGTTCCGAACTGAGCTCAATAAATACCTACCTAGAAAATCCGATAATGCATTAGTATCTTTTTACAAGTAACAGTGCATTTAGGCAAATCATGTGCTTTGCATAAAGTCCATATAAAGTTAAGCCACTGGATGAGCACAGCCAATCAGAGCGACTATACTAGGGGAGGCTTACCCTCAGGGGTCTGGGTGGTGTGGTCAACACTTGGCCCGTGAGAATGCCCATCTGCCTGGACCCAGTCATGGCCATCGTCTTCTAAGTTCCTCCAGGTGCCCTGACCCTCCTCGAAGTCACAGCTTCCTGTGGGGACACAGGCTCCGCCCCTCAGTGACACCTCATCCAGCTGCACTGAGGAGCCAGGGGCCGCGTCCATCTCCGCTCTAAACACCACCTAGGTCAGAATGGGCTAAAGTCAAGGCATGCAATCCTAATGAATTGGATTTCAATACAATGCTGTGATAGAAAATGTTTATGAGAAAGGATCCAGGCCAGGAGTGAGAGTGTAAAATTAGACAAAAATGTGCCAAACAACAAAATGCATGAAAATAAAAAGAGGACTAAATACACACACCGACACACATGCATATATATAGATATATAAAATGAACACTTCCTTCACAAACAGCAGAAGGCTGCCCTCAGCAGTCAGAAAATCAGTCCAGATGAGTTCATACTTCTCTGCATCTGCCATAGCCTCTTATCTACAAAAGTTCTCAGAGGTCTCTTATACAGCGGATAGCAAGGCAACAACTCTGAACATGACATAGACCACCAACATGGCCCCCGTGGCTGAGAACAGGTAGGTTAGTCTGTCCTCCCTCTATAATCCAAACAAATTTAGCTCAGTTTTCTACTGGCACTCACCAGCAAGCTAACAGGGAGACAGAATCCCGTACTGTAGTTTTATGTATGTATTTTATTTTTTTTTATTTGAAGTTGAGGTCTTTGAAGTTTATACGTGCTTATAGGGTATGAAACGGTGTGTGGGCACTGGTTCTTATGTGTGGCCTGACTTATAACCATCACACTCACTCTAAAGTTTTATGAAGGAGGTGACAGGAGGGAATTTTCCTAGGAGGAACGGGATGGTAAAAAATGCTAAATGGATTGCATTTATATAGCACATTTTTGCTACTCTTTTGAGCACTCAAAGCACTTTACAGTTATGCCTCACATTCACCCATTCATACACACATTCACCCCTCCACACTCACATTCACACACCAGTGGCGGAGGCTGCCATGCAAGGCACCAACCAGCTCACTGGGAGCAATTTGGGGTTCAGTGTTTTGCACAAGGACACTTTGATGGGGTCAGGAGGACCCAGGGCTCAAACCTGCAACCCTCTGGTTGCAGGATGGTAGCACTACCTCCTGCACCACAATTGGGATTTTAGAGTCAACTATGAAATTCAAAAAGGGAGAAATGGAAGAGCTCAACATTAATTGGGAAGATTCAGCACTGAGGCTTTGAGATTTATGGAATGGGAAATTTACCCTGAATTTGGAAGCAGCAGAGACTGTAACCTGCGCCACCTCCCAGCTCTGACAGGGGGCGCCAGAGAGGACCCACAATGCGGGGCTCAACTCCTCACCCTGCGTGACATGCACTGAGAGTGTGTCATTACCACGCGCTGACAGCCAATACCTACAAAGAAAGGACAATTTATAACCAATCCATGATCAGTGTTGGGGAAATTACAAAAGTAATCCAAGTACAAATCCAGACCAAGGTTTTGTTTCAACCAACCAATTGAGTACTTTGCAACAGTGACTCTTTATACTCAACTGGTTGATTGAAACCAAACCTTTGTACGGATTTCTACTTTCTGGACCTGAACTTTCCACCTCTGTCTGTAATGGGTTACTTTTGTGAGTAATTTCCCCAACACTTTCGATGATAGCCAGTTAGATACACCAATAATTGGAGTCATTTCCACATGTTATAAGCCATTACACCTTGCTGACACCTAGTTATACTGTATATACAGATAGGGAAGTCATTACCACAATCATGTAGTCTGTTAGATATTTAGGGTCCTATTACAGTCAGCTACAATCACAGTCATCGAGTCATTGCCCTGGCAGTGGATTCATGGTTCCATTAAAGTAGGTTCTAGACCAGCACTGCATATGTAACAGACACTCACCAGAACTGTAGACAGGACTCTGTCGTGGCTGGGAACTCTGGGGTCCTTAGCATGGTGACCTCTCGCTGATGTAAGTCTTTTCCAAACACAGCCATGGAATGGCCTGTCAGAGAGAGCAAACAGCGTGAAACCATCAGGGTTGGGGTCATTCCGGAATGCATTCATCAATTCCAATCCAGGTCAGGAGATAGAACTGGAGTTGGGTTTGGAAAAAAAACTATAGGGAACAAGAATTGGAATTGAATTTGAATTTCAGGGAGATTTAAATTCCAACTCCAGTTCCATTTCCTGATTTAGATTGGAATTGATGAATGCATTCCAGGAAAGCCCCAACTCTGCAAACCATCTCTCAAACACATGCTGCTACAGCAGAAATGGAAACAGCGATAATGTATATCTGGCAGTAACACTGGTCCTGCCTGAGTAACACTGCATCCTCTTACCTTGTTGCGTCCTGTAGGTACGATCAAATTGGCCATCTGGCCCAGTGGTGCGGACCCAGTCAACGCCATCTGTCACGTCCTGTTCATACTCGCACATAAAGGGGCTCTCAAACCCACATGGGTCTGGTAGGGGGGACACAGGAATTCAGAGTCAAGTCAAGGCTGAACACACCATGCTGGGTGATCATTGACAGCGACTAGTTAGTTTGTGGTTGAGTTAGCTTAGTGACCTAACTCATTGGTATATGGCTCATGGTTTTGGGAAAATGGGGAATTATTTCAAGAACTAATCTGCAATTGTGGCTCTTGGGTCATCTCATCTCATCACTATAGCTGTCGATCCTCACCTTGATCCACACAGTGCCCCTCTCTGGCAGTAATGTCGTCAATGGCAATGTATCCGATACTGAAGGAGTTCCATCTACCAGACAACTTTATCTGTAAAGAGTAATCACTCAAGGTGATGTCATACGATTACAAATACTGAAGTGTGTGGAGTTTGCATGTTCTCCCGATGTTGTCATGGGGTTTCCTCTGGGTCATCTGGTTGACCCCCCCATGGTCCAAACATATGCTGAGGTTAATTGGAGATATCAAATTCCCCGTAGATGTACATGTGTGTGTGTGAATGCCCTGCGATGGGTTGATGTCCCATCTGAGTTGTTCCCTGCCTTACGCCTGTAGCCTCTGCGATAACCTCCGGAACTACCATGACCCTGAATAAGATAAGTGGTTACAGAAAAATGCACGAATGTTGAAGATTGAATATTGGGTTTTGTGGATGGCTGTTATGTCTTCAGTCCAGATATTAGCTGTTGGGTATCAGGTATTGTGGCTGGGTGTTGGGATTAGGTAGTACACTTTAAGTACTGAATGCTGGATGTTGTGAGGTGGGGTCTGGGTTTAGGTTGAATCTTTCCATACATCTTCAAGTAGCAAAAGAACAGGAAGGAAGATCGACAGCAGTCATCTTACTTTCTGCACGTTGGCCTTGCTTATGGTGACCTGTGCATTCAGCCACTCGGCATCCTGGGTACCGTGTCTTCTCCACATGACCGTTTCAGATTCGCTCTATGAAAAAACAAAACAAAACAAAAAACAGAAGAATTATATTGTAAATTTAAAAATGTTTGATATATCTGTGGTTACTTTTACTTGTCTCATATGAGAGTATTTAGTAAATCTATCTGAAATGTTAAAAAAGATAAAATATATGAAAACATAATCAAATATTAAGCATATAAATAATGATGTTCATGAAAATCCATCACCAGTGTAGAACAGCTGATGTTTTATGCAAATGATGACGCCCAGACTGGACATTGCTATGCGCCCACTTACGGTCTGCACCAAGAGCTCCAGGCTGGAGACAGACGAGCCCAGCATGTGGTACCAGAAGCTGATGCACACATCTGTGGACTGGAGCATCATGGGTATTGATAAGACAGCTGTCTCTCCATCCTTGGAGCCCAATGCAGGGATGATCAGGTAGAACCCTATCAGTTCATGCCAAACACGTGTCAGAGAAGGCAACAACATTCAGCTTAAATTCTAGAATTAGAATAAGATTTTTTCTATATGCTACACATTCAGACATATTGTCCATATGCCATAGGGACTATGCCTCATTGGGTAACACTGTTCCCTCACACCTCCAGGGTTGGGGTGGAGTTTGCATGTTCTCCCTGTAATGTGTGGGCGTCCTCTGTTTCTTCCTGCAGTGCAAACTTAGGTGAAGTGGTGTCTCTAGACTGTGTACCGTGTGTGAGCATATGTGTGGTGTTCCATGCAACGGACTGGCATCCTGTCCACGGTGTCCTTGTCATAGTTTCTGGTGTTTCTAGGTTAGGCTCCAGGTTTTGAGAGATTCTGCACTGGATAATTGGAATCTTGAGCATGACAGTTAACATTCAAGGCAAGGGATCCAGTACAATTTTTTTTTGACAAGCCAGGAAACTGTACCCTTTGGACAGAAGTGCACAAGCTTAATGATATATGTAAATTTCACTGAAGATATCGCTTTCACAACATATAACACTGCTTTCAATTTACTGAGCACCCTTATAACGTCTCTGCGGAAGCTTATTAGGAATATATATTGTAATAAAGTAAAGGAGCCTTGTTGAGTCCATTGAATGCAAGTATGAAGACATGCAGAAGTCTGTCTCTGTTTGTACTTATGACCCATAAGGTTAACAGCAGCTAGGGGGCGCACCTTCTTCATTGCCGACACTGTGATCATAGCGAGGCCCATCTGCAGGAGCCTCCACCTCCCGTCCTGCTTGCCTGCTCCAGTCGAAGGAATCGCCAGTCTCCTGGGACCAGCGGCATAGTCCTAAGGACCAACACCAAGACCGATATGGGTCTTTACCCCTGAGCAATGCACTTAGCCAGTAAAAAATGCCACAGTACAGTCATACAGTGTATAAGCCAGCTTATCATGATACCAAATTGAAATGGATGCAGGAATCAATGAACTTCTGGGGTGTAGGTTTGTGGGGGAAGGGGTCTATGCCTGAATCTGGATTATCTTGGGTTTGAATCCCATGGCTGATAGAGTAATAATTTCACTGTAGGGCCCATGATCAAGGCTCTTAACCCTGACTGCTCCATGGGCACTAGAGGATGATTGAGCCGGTGCTCTGACCCCTAAACTTGCTCTCATCTGGCACGTGTCTGTGTCTATCATGTAGCACAAGTGCAGCCTGTTCCTGTAGCCTGTTCCTGCATCCCATAAGCGCTCACCCTCCTCAAAGCTGCAGTCCATCGGGCTTGCCGGGGCAGCTGTTGGTATTGTGGTGGGGGCCACCGTGGTGACTACGAAACCTGCGCAGGTCTGGTTTGTCACGATGTAGATGTCATCCAGGGCGACATCCACTGAACTGCTGGATAGCGCTTTCGCTTCAAACAGGATCTACACCCCAAAATAATAGTAGGTTCACCAATTCCAACACGAAAAGTGTTCAAATTGTGTCTGAAGTAAGAATTGGCCGACATGTGACTTTCAGACCTTTTCTTCACCAGGATGTCCATCTGGAACATTCTGTCTTTGTTATTTACTGCTGAAAACTGGTTGCACACAGGTCAAAATTTACTGATTCCATAAAACCAGTGCAACAGAGGTGATCATTGTTTTTTCCTCTTTGGTTACTGCTTTTGTGCTGACCTGTTTTCTGTCATTATCTCTTAACCTTCCTGTTCCTGATGCAGGTAGATAAACGTATCTGTGCTTAAGTGCAGTACTGGCATAGAAAATTATGATCAGCAATAAAACGCTTAGTCTGGGGTTCTATAAATCTTATGTAGCTGTTAGTAAGTCGGATTCATTCATTCATTCATCTTCAATATCACTTGTCCTATGCAAGATTGTGGGGGTCCGGATCCTACCCTGGACACAACAGGAACAAGGCAGGGAATAACAGGGAATGATGGGGCGCCAACCCATGGCAATACATATTCTGTCAGGGTCAGCCCCTGCTGTGGTCCTACCGTGTCCCTTCCCTGTTTGACCAGCAGGCGTTGCTGGTCATCTCATCCTTCATGTTAGTCTTTGTTCTCCCCTGTTACCTGTCTGGTCATGTGGCTCAATGTGTTGAGCATGTGGTTGTCTGTGTACCTTCTGTCCTGTGTTTGAATCCCGACTCCTGTTTTTGTATTTTGCTCCCTAGTGTTTCATTTGAGTTTCTTTAGTTCTTGTGTCTGATTTTGTAGTTGGTTTTGGTTTTGTTCCTTGTGCCCCTGCTTGTGTCTTTACCTGTTTAAGTCCCTAGTGTTGGTTTCTGTTTCCCTGTGTCCTTGGTTAGTTCTTAGTTTCCCTGTTTTTTAGTTCCTTTGAGTTTATTAGTTTCACCTGTGCCCTGTTTCCCTGGTCTGTGTTAATTAGTCTCAGCTGTCCTGTGTTAGTCTCGTTACCCCTTTAGTATTTTAGTTCCTGCTTCTGTTTAGTTCCTCAGTGGTTCGTTGTGTTGTTGTTGTTTGCGATGTTCAAAGGTTTTGCTATTTTCAGTGTTTGATCTGTATTATGTTTCCCTGCCCAGTTTATGTTTATTTGTGATTTATAGTCTTTATTTATCCCCTTTAGTTTTTTGATCCCGCGTGGTCCTTTTGGTTTAGTTGTGTTTGTAGTGTTTTCTGTTTTATTTAATAAACCCCATTTTTGTTCCTGGAAGCCACCAGTGAGTCGTCCACCCTTTGTTGTGCACCATGCCTCGTTCTCATGCCCGAGCCGCCCGGATCATGACATATTCACACAAACTCACTACTATGGATAATTAGACAATTCACCTTGTCTCTTTTCTGGACTCGGGGGGAGTACCCAGATCGGATTCTTTTTAATTTAAGAGTTTTTGACTATACTGCCAAACAATATTGAAAACTTCATAGTTCATAACATTTTGATGAAAAAAATCTGTATTTGATGAGGATAAAGTGAATGAAAGACACTAAATATTATACAGGATCTGCACCACAGAAACGTTACAGTGATGTCTCTGAGTGGAATTTTGAGTGAAGCTATTGATTGTGGAAGATTGACTTACCTGGTGGCGGCTTGACGTGGAGTAATCCACCATGGACTTCAGCCAGACGTTCCCTTGGTATCCCGTGTGGTTCCAGATTAAACGGAGACTCCCAGACTCATTCAAGTGCACTGTAAACTTCACGTCACCTGGAACAAGCACAAAAAGTCAGCAGACCACTGCAGTAGATCAAAGCCCAAGTAGCGTTGGCATAAAGTGTGGACATCGATGAGCTTCAGGAATGGGAGTGACCAGCATTTTGGGGATCATAAGCATCCCAGCAACTAGCATCTATGTCACCCAAACCAAAGGCCGGAAGTCATACTTATGGAGAACAATATAAAGCATTCATATTCCTTCTGAACAAAAGATGGGGTCAGAAGGGGTCCTTAAACAGTTTGCAATAGTAATATAGTGCAGCTTTTGTTTTCTGATTCCACAATTTTCTGCCTTGCTTACCATGATAGAGCACACTGAGATGGTACCAGAAGACAAGGCATCCCATAGTGGTGGGATCCAGGTATTCACTCTGCAGGTTAGTTGTCGTGGGGGACGTCAGCATCGATTTGCTATAGTACATGTAGTGACCTGCAGGAAGTAGGTCCAGGTGTATGTGTCATAACAACTACAAGTAAGAGTGAGCGACAAAGGCAGCCATCTTGGTTCTTGTGGTCCTACCTTGACCTGAATTTGTGGTGTGGTCCACGGGTGGGCCGCGGCCACCTGCAGTGCTAGACGCCGAAGTCCAGTCCCAGTCCATACCGCTGACTAATGGACGGACACTCAGCCAACTGCAAGGATCTGACTCAAAGTCGCAGAACCCTATTGCCCAGGATGGGCACAAGTCAACACCCAGACAGAACCTTTGGCTCCCTTCTATATTCTTATACCAAGTTCGATAAGGATTACCTATATGCTAGGTACAGCCCGCTTACCCTGAGGGGGGCATGGTCCATTCAGGATCAGGAGGTCATCAATAGCTATGTCCATCCCAACACCATCTCCAGTAACAGCCTCAAACACAACCTGATGACCAGACAACCAGCTGTGTCACAAATCCACATATGCCCACAATATACCCAGACGTGCAACCCCACAATTTAAACCAATTGTGGCTCCAATGCACCAACATATCTACCTATGTTAAATCTATATATCTATCCAAAAGTCACAAACTCAGATGCTAAACTGGTCTTCATTCCCACATATAACCAATCCAGTATCCATTTTTTATCTAGTAGGAGAGTCAGGCATCTTTAAAGAAATGCACCCTTTTCTCCAGGGGTTCCAGAAGGGATTACCTTCACTGGCCAAAGACTGGCTGAAGATGATATCCCCCCCAAACATTAAAACCATTAAATGTGGAGAAGAGGGACAACATATGTTACCAGCATGCCATCTAAGTCATGTATGTTCAATTCAGATGTGAATTTGCAGTGGCTTTTAAATCCTGTTCCTCTATTCATCTTCAATTGTAAACATCACCAATTCCAATATGAAAAGAGTTAAAATTGTGTCTCTAAGTGCCTGAAGTAAGAATTGGCTGATATGTGACTTTCAGACCTTTTCTCCACCAGGATGTCCATCTGGAACATTCTGTCTTTGTTATTTATTGCTGAAAACTGGTTACACAGGTCAAAATGCCCAGATTCCATAAAACCAGTGCAACAGAGGTGATCATTGTTTTTTCCTCTTTGGTTACTGCTTTTGTGCTGACCTGTTATCTGTCATTATCTCTTAACCTTCCTGTTCCTGATGCAGGTAGATAAACGTATCTGTGCTTAAGTGCAGTACTGGCATAGAAAATTATGATCAGCAATAAAACGCTTAGTCTGGGGTTCTATAAATCTTATGCAGCTGATAGTAAGTCGGATTAATTAATAAGAATTAGAATTTGGTGATCAGTGGTCATTGTTAACACACCACAGCACACAGTGCGCAACAACAAAATGTGTCCTCTGCGTTTAACCCATATGTGACAATGTGACATAGCAGGGGGCAGCTAATTCAGCGCCCGGGGAACAGTGCTTGGGGGCGGTACCTTGCTCAGGGTACCTCAGTGGTGCCTTGCTGGTCGGGCATTCGAACCAGCAATCTTTCAATTACAAGTGCGCTTCCCTAACCATCATTCAATTAATTAATTAGTTCATTCATTCATTCATCTTCAATATCACTTGTCCTATGCATGATTGTGGGGGTCCGGATCCTACCCTGGAAACAACAGGCACAAGGCAGGGAATAACTCAGGACAGTGTGCCAACCCATCACAGGGCACATTCACACACTACTCACACACACATTCACTCCTACGGATTATTCGACAACTCAAATTCACCTTGGCTCTTTTTTTTTTCAGCTGGGGGGGGCACCCAGATCGGATACAGTTTCTTTTTAATTTAACACTTTTTGGCTATACTGCCAAACAACATTTGAAATGTTCATAGTTCATATGATTTGGATAAAAAAAAATCTGTATTTCATGAGGATAATGTCAATGAAAGACACTAAATATTATACAGGATATGGGTGGTATAAAGACAGAGAGACAGATGTAATGTTTCTATGTGTGGTCACAACAATTCATGCATTGAGAATATCTGTCTTTTAACATATTAACTTAAGCAGATCATTATTTAATGCATTTGGGCCAATGGAAATAGGTGAATTATTTAATTTAATTTAGCACATTCTCCATTTTTCCATTTTTATGCTATTTATGCTCTATGGATTCTGCCGTATAATAGATCAATCAGTATTAGCAGTATATTTTACAAGGCAATGTCTGGTTTTAATTGAACTCCAAACTTATACCTATAGGCTGAAATTTTCAGAAATAGGCTTGAGAATCATTTTTTTCCATTTTGAGAAAACTATGCAAAAAGTACCTGCTTATTCTGCACAAAGTCCAGGGTACTGACCTGATAAGGCATTTTTTTCCAGAATACATGCTTACATTCATGAAAGAGAATGGAAATGTAACTCTTGTACTGCATGTCAGATAGCGTGTTGAGCGTGATGTCAATATACAGAATATGATAAGGAGATAATCAGCTGGGGTCAGATGCATTGAGGTGCATAAGTGCAGCACACACACATTTTATATGATGAACCTTTCTGAACTGCATTCCAGCAGCAATCATGGAGAAGAACAAGGAGCCATCTAAGTAAGGTTCTACAGTCTTAATAGACCAGGATGGCACAGTAGGTTACGATGCTAGATCTCATATCTGATGGATGGTCGGCCATATGGGTTCAAATCCTACTCTTGGTACCGGGCTTTTGGTTGGGTCCTTGGCAGTACATTATTATTGTCTTTGAATTAGCAGACAGCCACACTTTCTGAACTCTGGTAAAACACTTTAGTAACAGAGGAGTAGCTATTGGGACTGGTGTGTTGCTTACTGGGTTAGGATACTGTGCTTGGGATTGGAAGGTTGCTGGTTCAATTCCCAGGATCAGCAGAGTGATTTCACGGTTGAGCCCTTAAGCAAAGCCCCTACCCCAATTGCTGTAGGGATTGGCTGACCCTGTCTTCTTAAAAATGTATGTCACTTTGGATAAAGGTGTCCCCTAAAGAATAAATAATGTAAATGCTATAGGAACGCCTAATGAACTGTGTGACGAGTTGGGTCTCACCTGGTATGGGGCATCATGGCTAAGGACCGTAGTCCTGCCCTGCCTCCAGAGGTCCCCCTGGTTCCCATGCTCGCTCCACAGAAGCACCCTGGACCGGTCCAGCTTTTGCAGGTAGATGCTGAGGGTCCCGACACCTTCGCCGTCCATGTGGTACCAGAACTTCAGACATTCCCCACTTTTCGGAGTCGGGTCATGGAGGCGGGTCAGCACTCGGCCCACGTCACCAACGGACCAGCGCCAGATCTGGGCACTCAGATAGTAACCTGAAGGCAGAAGCATGACACACCAAGAGTCCTCTGTGGGCTGAAATTTTTAAGCACCAACCCATCGCAGGGCACACACACACACACACACACACACACGCACACACATGCACACACAGACACACACACACGGACACACACACACACACACAGACACACACATACACACACACGCACGCACATGTAGGGTAAACGTGAAATCATTCATTTCTATGGGAAAAATGCTAGTGCTAACTATGACAACCTTAACCCCCACCCTGCCCTAACCATAACCATAAGTAACCTAACAAAATACAACAGTTTTTGCATTTTTAGTTTTTTCATAGCAGTCACCGATTTTTGTAAAATAAAACAGATATTTATCACGTTATGGGGACATTGTGTCCCCATAAGGATAGGTAAACCCACTCGCATATCCATATATTTTAAAATTTATCTTTAATATATATTTTAATAAAGAGCAGATGTAATCATTTGATTGAATCTTTGGTTACAGTTTACCCTGATATGTCAATATAATTATAAATCACTGTCTATAGTCCAGACTCATATATTATTACATATATTTCTTACATACATAACTAATATTAAAGAGATTGAATTAAACAAACAGAAGTTATTAAGATCATAATGTTTTTCACTCTCACCTTGAGCCGTCCCCAGGGTGTGGTCGTGGCCGGGACAGGAGGTGTTTACAGACTGCTCCCCTGTGGTTCTGCTCCAGTTGAAGTTCCCCGTGTGGTCTTGCAGTAGGCCGCAGAGGGAGCCCTGGAAGGTGCACTCTCTCTCGGCGGGGCATGACCCGTCCGCGGCGGCGGAAACAACCACGTCGTCGATAGCGATGCTCCCATAGGCCCCGCCCACTGTGGCCTCAAACACAAACTGGGACGTGCCGACCATAAAGCTGGTTAAGACACATCATCAGAAGCTGAGCACAAACCCTCTTACATGCACCTCGTTCAGATGCTCTGCCATTTAGCAGTGAAACAACTGGACCTCATTGGCTTGCATATCATTGCCTACCCTCCCATCCATTTTCCAAAGTCACTTCTCCAGTACAGGGTCACTATGAGCCCCAATTAGCCTTAGAGCAGGAGTGTCAGACTCCAGTCCTGGGGGGCCGGAATACTGCACATTTTTAGGTTTCTCCACACTTAACACACCTGATTCAACTCGCTGCAGCTCCTTGTGCTAATTACCGCACTTGAGCTGAATCATTTGTGGTGGAACAGGGAAATAACTAAGCTACACAGGGCTCCGGCCCTATAATAATAATAATTATTATTATTAATAATACTGTACTGAGCTTGACAGAAGAGATATAGGGGACAAGGTGGGCTGGATGAGGTGACCCTGTACCTGTGCTGGTGTGTCACTCTCTTCGATTTGGAGGTCCACAAAGTGCCACTTGTTCCCCTGTGTCCCAACTCGCACCCACTGCAGTCTGTCACCCCCTCTGGCATGTCTGGAAATAAACTTCAGGGATCCTGGAAAGGAGGGGGGGGGTCCAGTCAGATTTATTATCTCTAGCCCAAACGTAGGTTAAGCTGCTCACTGAGCCTTTGCTATGGATGCAGAGCTACAATAAAATAAATAAATGTAGTTATTGTAATGAGTCTTATTGATAAACTGTGACACTGCTCCAGTGAGTCAGTTTTAACTATTTGATTAAATTAAAAATATATCAAGTCATTCTAAGGAGCTGTGCTTCAATCTGCTCCAGTGAATTAGTTTTTACAATTTAAAGTATAATCACACTAAGTCTTAACAATTGACAGTGACTCACTGCTCCACTGGGTCAGTTCTTATTGTTTAATTAAGTACATAAAAATCACATTGTGCCTCGCACTGCTCTAGTAAGTCAGTTATAATTATTGTATAACAACTATAAAATCACACTGGTAGAACTGCTAGGTGCTGTGAGTCACCTGTGGTATCTAATAAAGTAACCAATGAAAAGAGAGTTAAGTGTGATTGACAGCTGACAATGAGGCTCCGTGGCTTTGGAGTTTTGTTTTCCCCATCCTGACTGGCTAGTTCCCCACAATGCCCAGGACCACCAAGCAGTGCAGAGGAGAAGCTGCTCTCACCAACGGTGCCTCCAAACATGTGGTACCAGAAGCTGAGACACTGTGCTTTTCTGGCATCCTGGGGGTAGCTCAGGAGTTGGGCTTTAACAGCGGGCGCTGTTCTGGACTTTGAACCCACAAACATGTAGTAACCTTGAAAGACAAAAACAGACAAACACAAAAAAGACCAATTTCGCACACCTTAGAAGAATAAAAGAAACGTCTCTTAGTTGTCATGGTGCTTGTAGAAAACGAGTAATAATACTCATTAAAGCTCATTAAAATAAGACATGAAGTTGCTCAGGGAGAAGCTGTAACTATGCGCTGATCGCTCGTGAATCCAAGCCTTCCTCCCCCAGTTCTCATAAGTGTCTTATCATTGCTTTTGAGACCACTGGCTGAAGTAGTTTATCTTATCAGAAGGGCTAAGACCTTCATAAGCACTAGGTTTCTTCTCACATGTCAGTCAACTTTTTTGTGTTAGTTTCCCATAAATACGACTTAACATCCATTCAAGATATTGAGCCCAAGCTCAATGGTGCATCAGCAAGGCCTTCTGGAGTGCGTGTAACCCCCTGACAGCTAGGGGGCAGCATACCGGTGCCGCTGGTGTGGTCATGGTCTGGGCGTAGCTGCTGGCTCCATGGGTCTTTCCCGATGACCCTCTCCCAGGAGGCTAGAGAACCTTGGTCATTGTACCAGGCACAGGCGTCCGCCTCGAACGAGCAGGAGAGCCGAGAAGAGCCGGCGGGAACGTCCCGCTCTGAGCAGTCCAGCAGCTGCATGTCATCCAGTGCCACGTCCTGGTCACCGATGAACGTGGGCGTCACCATGAACTGCAGCTATGGGTTTATGGGAGTTACAGGGAAAGAGGGGTGGATCAGGAATGAGGGATATGAGGATGACATAGGATAGATCCAGTGGGATTTTTCCTGGGATAATCATTAATCTCTTTCATTTGTTTAGACGATTCACAGACATTTTAACTGGTTTACACTGGATTTACCTCCCCTGTTTATGCTGGATTTATCTCCCCTGTTTACACTGAATTACATCAGCACTACACAACCTGATTTCAAAATCACTATGTGTTAAAAGACAACTATTGAAAATTATTCCTACTGCAAAGTCATTGTTACAGACCAAAACCCAATTTTATATTATGATAAGATATAAATTATGCTATTAAATATAACTTTAAGTTTTTAATGCAAACATCATAAATATAGATACTGGAATTGTATATCTTACATTGGGGCCGACATCTGAAGTAATCATTGTAAATATCAACCAAATTTTTATTTAAAATAAAGGTATAATTAAAGTAAACTTAAATATTTAATGTATAATTAATGTAATTCATTTAATGTATAATTATTGTATAATGGAAATGTATAATTTGATGTATAATTCAATATATTTTTTGGTTGCTAATGTAAATGTCTTGGCTGCTGTACTGTCTGTATCAGAACCCAGTAAGTGAGCTGACAGGACAGATGACAGATTCCCAGTGAATCTCTGTGCCGGGTCTGAAATCATGTCTCCTTGTAGCATCAGAGACAGAGATTAGGCCTACATGTGTTTGGGCCCCCTGGAGGTTTAGGGGCTCCAAAGTGACTTTTCAGTGGGGCCCCAGAACCACCCAGCCCACCGCTGACGCCAGAGGAGGCCCACCTTGGAACCTGGGGCTCTGTTCCCGATGTGGACAGTTACATTTTCCCAGCCCTTGGTCTGTGCCTTCTTTATCTCCCACAACTTCTGGAGGGATGAGTTTGTGGTGACGTGTAAGGAGACTTCTGAGGAAAGCCCTATGCTGTCAAACAGGTGGTACCAAAAGCTAGAAGCAAGGAAAAAATAATTCAGTCAATGGATCTGTTGCCGTTAACAATCCATCGATTTATGTGTCCAGGAGGCTTTAAAGGAAGCTGCTCAGCAAGGTCATTGCAGTTATTACACACTGCAGGTCAGCAAGGTCATTGCAGTCATTACACACTGCAGGTCAGCAAGGTCATTGCAGTTATTACACACTGCAGGTCAGCAAGGTCATTGCAGTTATTACACACTGCAGGTCAGCAAGGTCAT